CATTCCTGCACACCCTCTGACCTGCTGGTTTGCACATCTTGGATAGATTCTCCACTTTTGGATCTCCCGTCCCTCCACCGCCGTGTCTCTGTTACTTGTTCAGGTTTGGGGGGGGGGCTGTGAGCAAGAGGAGGTGGCCATGGGGGTGGAAGCCCCTGGAAGTCGATCTGATCAGCCCTGGCCGGAACCTGCTCCGACACCACCCAGCCAGCAGCTCTGAGACTTACCTTGTGGAAAAAGCTGCTGAGCTAAATGTAGCCATTTTTTTTTTTTTTTCCGGTGGGTGCAAAAAATAACCGCCACTAAGGTGTGTCTTCTTGATGCTTGTACCACTCAGAAGTAGACTGGGGTTGTGTTTGTTTTGCTCAAACTTTCCTAAAGAGGAAACCCCCTCCCCAAACTGGACCAGATAGACACACTATCTTTTCTGGATGTGATTATTTCGGCGCTGTGCTGTGAGAAAGGGGGCATGGTGGAAAGTCGTCTTTTTCTTGGCTCGCATTGTGGTTGCTTTTCTTTACCTGAGATGAAGGGCCACAAAAGACATCACTGTCCTGGGAGTTCCAGGTCTCACTCGGTGGGGTCCTCATTCTTCCGGGTGCTGGAATTAGCCATCGCTAGTGGTGAGGGCTCGTGTTAGTTAACCTCGCTGAGCCTTGTTTTACCCACTTACTCCAGTAGGCATGGGCAACAGGGTTGGTGCCAAATTAATGAGGTCAAAGCCAGAAATGAGTAGGGCTATGCCTGACACATAGTCATTGCCAAGGTGAAGAATTATCCCTTTTGTCCCCACCTGGTTTACATTGTCCCATTGGTTCTGAGTCCTAGCGTGCCGTCTCCACATGTTCCATCCACTGGGTTGTCTTGGCTGTGCAGAGAATGGCCCTGTCCTTGTGATTGTGCTGGTGAGGGCCAGTCCTGGAATCCTCGGTGTCATGCCATGGGCTGCTGATAGGGAGAATGTGCTTTAGACTGGGGGCAGAGGGTCAGCGTTGCTCCCATGATGCTCCAGCCAGGGCCAGTGCCTTCGGTGGGACGCCATGGGGATCTAAAATCAAGAAGGGGAGAAGATAGTGCTGCATGTTCAGCCCTTCCTCTGAGTGGCAGCCCTTCAGCTCCCGGCTAGATGCACTTTGCAGGAGGCTCTTTCCTCTCCCTCACCGTCAAAGCTCCAGGATTAATGTGCCACTTCCTTACTTCCTACTGTTCTCCATCTCTCCTGCCCTAACCCGTCAGCAGTCTGAGAAATGGTCTGGTGTAAGAAAAAAACATCACGACTACCAGTATAAACAAAAAGGCAAGACAGAAAATCGGAGCAGGAGATTTCGATGCCAGGGAGCTGTGGAATCGACTAGAAATACAACAGTGATGACCATGATGAAATAACAGGCTACGGGGTTTATTTTATTTTATTTTTAAGCCAATACGCTAGAGTATTGATAGAGATGAAGTACTCAGCAGTTATTCTTGTTTTTTCTTCTTGTGAGAACAGAAGGGCATAGAGAGGAAGGAGGCAGAGTGCTGGGAAGTGAGGCAGGAAGGGGAGGTAAGTTGTGGAATCACATCAGTAGGCCTCCCTGTGACTTGATCTTGAAGTGATCTCTACAGTGAGGTGGGACCTCTTGGCTCAACAGATAGTTAGAATGAAACTTAACAGACTCTTGGACCATGGTCCCTGCGGTACACAGTGAGATGCAAAAGCAGTGTCAGATGTCATCATGGGTAGGTGAGAAGACCAGACAAAGGCACCACTTGGGTAACTGAACTGGGGTTCACTTACCTAAAGGAATCAGGAGGAAGTCAGAAAAGTCTAAAGATTTGACAGAGCAGTATTCTCCAGGCTAGCGAAGGAGCACGCTCTGGACCCCAAAACCCTTCCTAATGAGCCTACATTATAGAGAATAACATCCGAGGGAGAGAGGGTCATATCTGGCTTCTAGAAGACTGGACTGTCTCATCTAGGCTCAAACTCTCTCTCTGTCTGTGCAAGGCTGGGCACTTGTGCGGTTAGGCTTGTCTAGATATGGTCTAGGGACTAGTCCAGCTGGGTTAGGAATGCCTTCTCACCCTCAGAGTTATATACATTTGTGGTGAGATTACAGAGAGCAGGGTGGTTGACTTCGGTGAGAACATGGTCCTCGTTTCTAGCCCTCAGTGTCTCTAGACTCACAGGCCTGATTTGAATGTTCCTGAAGAGTCTGTTAGGTATGGTTCTCCAGGAGCCTCAGGATCTCGGTCAAGTCCTTAGATCAGCTGTAGTGTGTGTCTTGCATAGACATAGTAAGAACATTGGCCTGGTTCTTGAGGGGATGCTCAGGGTCTACAAGGAGCAGCTCCCTGGACCCACATGTGAGCCGCGTGGCTGACATACCAGAGTTCTGGCTGGCCATTTGCCTCGGTCTCTCTTGGTTGGCCAGCTGCACTGTTTTCAGTGGTTGACCATATAGCGGGCCAGTAGCTGTTGACCTTGGTTTAGGTCACTTTGGGGAGGTTAGAGGTTGCCTGGAACTCTCAGTTCCCTTTTATCATTTTACCTGGCACCGAGTTCTTTTGGGAAAAGGGTATGTGTGGAATAATGATAGTGACAGCGGCGGTATTAATAACCCTTTTTCATTAGTCATGGTGTTTTCTTCTTTGCAAAACACCTCTAATGACTTTCTGTCTCTTAACCTCACAGCCTTCTCTAAGGGGGTATGGGTCCATAATCCCCATCTATGATGATGAAGTCTGAAGAGCTCTGAGAGCTAAAAGGTTCTGTGTAAGTTTATAGCAAACTCATTTAGTGGCAAAACCTGATCTGAACTGATGCGAGGCTATATTTATCCCACTTATTTTGAATATTCATATGTTTTGCTGCAAAAATATTAATGTGTTTGATTACAGAGTGTTGCCCTAGACTCCACTGGGGCTCTTAAACACTGTTGGCATTGGGGTCTACCTTTCTAAAATCTGAACAGTTCTCATTCTTTTTTTATTCTTTGTCTATTCATTTGTTCCATGAATGAGTGAGAGACAGAGAAAGAAAGACAGACAGGCAGAGAGATACCACCCTCAACAGGGCCTTAACACTACAGTTCACCACCAGCCTTAGCTGGACCTAGATTGTAGGCATGCCCCTGCCTCAGGGAGGTCTCTGGACACAAACCTGGAACGTTCTCATAGGGAACAGCCTTGCAGAGTGTCATGTTTTCCCACTGCGCCACTGTCCAGGCCTGCCAGTTAAGATCTCTGAAGCACCCACAGGTTTTGGATAAGCGGTTATGGACTATTATTGGTCCCAATTTACAGATGAGGAAAATGATATCTGGAGCAAGTAAGTGACTTGCCTATGGACACATGGCTATAAATGGATAGAGCCAGGCACTCCGGATGCCTTTTAATTCACAGTCCTGGGTGCTCTGCACCAGGCCATATAAGAACATGGGCATTGCTGTTCTGGGGCATATCCATCTGACCCAGTCTTTGGTTGCCAACACCACCCCTGAGATACCACCACTGGAGGCTATGGCCATCTTCCTTGACGTCAATCCTAAAGGTCAGGTGTCTTCCAGCTTCTCTTAGTAGCTATTTATGGCTGCTCTGTCATTCACAGATTTGTCCAAATCCTTTTTTGAATCCATTTCTATTTCCAGGAAGTATCCTTTTGGGGGTGATGAATGACTTAAGTTTATCACCACCTGAGCTCCTGGAAATCTGGTCTTTTGGAGAGGTCATTGGTTGTGCAGATGTGAAAGTGGCAGGAGGTTTTGTAGTGTAGTGGATCCAGCTATGGCAGAGCCCGGGACTCGAGACCCAGCTCTGCATTTTTCAGTGCTGTTAGCATAGTCGGTCCCTTTTTCATCCTGAGTTTAATTTCTTAATTTGTAAAACTAGACACCAGAATGAGCT